TTGGTTTTACAAATTGTTAAGGAATCTAAAGCTTGCAAGAATTAAGATTCAAAGAATATGTTTTTCAGGTTACGAACTCATGTTTTGCTCGATATACGATTTACGATATATTTACGTCAGTTAGTGTTGAGCATTTCCAACATATTTTTTAAACCAAGACTTATAAAAGGTTAACAACCTTGTAATAATAGTCCTTCTATTGTTGTAAACAAAATCAACTCTAAATTATAAGCATTTAGAAAATTTAATTTTTTGTTTGACTCCGATAATGGAGCAAATCAAAATGATAAAACATCAGTAATATTCCTAATTTAATTATTATTTTCAATAAACTATAATTATAAAGGTGTTGTGCGGTTTTTTGTATGAATAGGATATTAATATTCTATAATTTGGTGAACATTCAATACATAAAGATTTCTTATTTTTATCGAAGACATTCCTAATTCCTCATCGCATCTAATCTGTAACAACTTACAAAATTATGTTTGAAAGCTTAGTCTTGGTAGAGATCTACCATTTTATTTTATAATAGTTTTTCAATAAAGGACAAATGGCTCTTATGTTGGCCTATGGATCCAAGATTGGGTTCATCGCTGAAAATCTGCTATTTATCAATTTCATTTTGTTTGGAGTACCGTCCAATGGATATTTTTAGTCGCTATTGAAAATTTAGTCAATTTCTGAATTTATGTGAGTATGTATGTATGTAAAGAAAACAACTAAATGTTGCAGGCACAACCATTAGACAGTGAACTGTCCACCTCGTACATCTAAATCAAGTACAACACCTGATTGTATTCAATTTACGATTGTATGAAGGGCCAAAAACGGAGGGCGAACCTGTAAGCAGAGACACTTACGCTTCGTCCGCGGGATAAAAGAGAATATCCTTCTAACAATAAAATCCTACAACCCGGTAATGTACAAGCCATCGCACGAGAGGATGTCCCAATGAGTGGGGAAGAAGAGCCCGCCTTCAATTCACGATCTGTTAACGACAGGAAAATGGCAATTCCACTCTCCCCATCCAAATCGCTTCAATCGGATGCCCTGGTTGAACCATCCCATACCCAGCATATAATGTGTCATATAATATTGGAATGAATGTTAATAGAACAATAAACGAAAGATCTCACCCGATATGTTGCAAAGGAATCCATGACTTCACGGCGATTTCGAAGAGCTCCCATAGATTAGAGGACGATTTATATCCTTCTGCAGTTAGTCTAGTCTAGTCTACACATACACAGCCAGTACTTGAAAGAATCCTGGAAAATGATACATCTATCATTTTTCTTGTCATTATTAATGCCTGCTGCACATCAAGGATGTGAAACAAACAATAAAGCGGCCAGGCCTACTGTGTAGCGTTACGATTTATATCCTTCTGCAGTTAAAGAAAAACTATCGTCTCTGAAAGACTCTCGATAGAACTACACTATAGTCGCTATATTCATAGTCTGGCGGATAGAATCTCGGAAACCAATTGAGCTGTCAAATAGCGGAACCAAATCGAGCAAATCACGACCAACAACAGAAAAGAGCTCATCAGTTATTACGAACAAAAGTTCGGAAACCCTTTTCTCGTGACTCAAGGCTCGCCTACGCAAACTAACACCATCTTTGGATTGGGGTAAGTTTCCCCTATCCGATGATGCTGGTAATTTGCGTTCGATTGGTGAGGAAAGAATAATCATGAATGTTGATAGTACCTTTTCAATTGTTGGTCTACAATATATTGAATTGGTTCCACTTTTTGAAACAGGCTTGCAATTGCTCATTACAGCTAAAATGCTATTTTTCGTTATTATGAAACAATGGTATACTATAATGATAATTTTTATTTGTAAGATGCAAAAAGAGGCGGTAAAGATTGTATATGACACATTAATTTTGTCAATTTTGCTTTCAGAAGGTCACAACTAGCAATTTTATGATCGCTGATTGCTCGCTCATCGCACTGCTCATCGTTACAGCTAATCGCTAGTTGTGACCTTCTGAAAGCAAAATTGACAAATTTTATATGTCATATACAAAATAATAGCAATTTATAAATTGCATTTTAGCTGTAATGAGCAATTGCAAGCCTGTTTTGAAACATCGAGATTCTATCCGCCAGACTATAAAAATAGCGACTATAAACTACACGATGAAAGCGTGACATCCGAACACGGTTAACCAGCCTCCAAGGAGACAATGCAATTGGCACACTTACAATCGCTGGTCACAAAAGTCACCAGACGTCTTGTCTGGATCCCATAAACGTCACACGTTTGACGACGATGGCAAAGGATGGCAATTTTGTGATACGGAGTTTTCACTGAAAATCAACCGGGAATGCACGAATTTCACCACACCCAACTACGAAACACGTTCAAAAGCACTTTTGGTACACTTTCGATCGAAAACACTTAATTTTTTCAAAAATGATTGCGAACGAATCAACATCATACACTGAAATTCAAATTACCAACGCAGGTAGCGCCAAATGTGCTCAGCTCATGCTTGCAAACATGATGAATCATGTTTTCTTTCTCGATTCTAAAACTTCTCGGAAAGCGAGAAAACCACCAATCACACACGTATAACCGTCTGGGAGATGCCAGTGCTAATCCAGCAAATGCAGCCGAAAACTATGAACGCGAACGCACGCACTAAACAGAGAGCAAACTTTAGACACAACCGTATCCGAAGGGGTTCGAAACTGCACTGTCAATTGCTGAATTTATGTATCGGCCCAAATTAGCGGCATTTAGGCCGACATTACATCCATTTCCCCTACATCATTGTAATTAACTTGAACATTTTATTTTAGATCTTTCTTAAAGTACGGGTTAGGATTTAGTAAACAAAATTGGCACTTATGATTGTTTTTAGACCATCTTGGAATAAAGTTTAACACAAAAGTCGCAAAAACCCAACAATCATATTTTGTTTTCCACCCAATTGTGATGATTTAAAAATATATATTCGCAAGTAAAATTTCTGACACACTACAAGCGATTTGCATTCAAATTGAAATTTCCTTCAAATTTTCACCTTCTGATGATTTTTTTTTTTAATTCACTCTACAGTAGCGTTGATATTCTCATGTTTATTCTTTGTATAAAATACTCCTGTTACATTCATTACAATTCCTTTGGTAATTAATTCAGATTTATCTATTAGCATTTTTCAGAAACCTTTTGAAATTCACCTTCAACCTGCTATTGAAGTTTGCTAATAATGTTCTTGAAACCTTCCTCCCAAAAATTTCCTCAGAACTTTGTTAAAATTCTTCTAAGAATGTTGCAAGGGTTCTCCTTAAAATTCCCTATAATTTATTAAGAACCCATTGAAGTTATCTCTCGAGCAAAAAATTACTTTAGAATTCTAGCCAACATTGTCAGACTTTGAAGTGCCAGAATTTAAAAAAAAAGAACAAGCTAATTATAAGAATTTTAAAAATATTTCAATACGTCAGATTCTAGGGAAAGTTTAAGAGTCATTGGAGTTTCATGTCACTTCAGGAATTGGCCTGTCGAAACCAAGTGATCCTATGTTGGGTTCCTGGCCACTGTGGAATTGGAGGGAATGAAAAAGTGACGTCTATTCTTGCCATTCTAGGATCATCTCAACAATTCATAGAACCTGAACCATTGTGTGGAGTTTCCGCTTGTTCTCTTAAAATGAAGATCAAGAAATGGGGAAAAAAATTAAAGTGGAGACCAACTGGAACAACACTGCCATAGCTAGGCAGTCGAAACGGTTCATAACTCCGAACATTTCAATGACCAGCAGAGCTCTTGAATTATCAAATAAAGATCTCAGTGTCTATACTGGTTTGATAACAGAACAGGACATATAAATATCACTTGAAGTGATTAGGAAAATTTCAAGTGGATATGTGTCAATTTTGTGGCATAGAAAAAGAAGACTCTGAACACGTGCTATGCTCTTGTACAACAATCTTCTATAAAAGATGTATTTTTTTCTGAATAAGGGACTGGCAGAACCCTTTCATATTTGGAATACAGTTCCCAGTCAAGTAGTACATTTCATTCAGTATGTAATACCTGGCTGGGAAAATGCTTGTGGTCAGTTAGTGATACGACATACTGATAAAGCAATATAAAACGGGAAATATACCACAATAGATCAAAGCAATGAATGGTCGCAGTGATAAATATACCCGAAACGAATTAAAAAAGCTAACCTATTTGTATAGAGATCACCTTCCTTCGACAGCGTCTAATTTATTCGGCTAGAACCCTGCATCTACCATTTAAAATTAAAAACAAAAGTGTAGTCTTAATTATCCAATCGAAGCTCCAAACACTATCGTGTCGCTGCCTATCGAAAACAATCAACAGCAGCGCGTAGTGGTCGTATCCTCGCGTCGTCATCGAATCGCAAAACAAAACATTATCATCACCACCACCACCACCACCACAGCCCTATCTTCAATCAGCCGCCATGTGGGTGGTACCGTAGCGGGTGGGACAATTCCAGCCGATTCAAACAGTCAGTCGATTCCAAGCGGTGGCGACCAAAACGAAGTTTATTAATTGAGCAAGGAACGACTTCGTTTACAGTCGATTCCTCCGAAGGCGTTCGCCAGCAGCGCCCCAAAGCAAAGGCAATCTAAGTGGTGTTATTGTTGTTACGAATATAAACACTATCGCATTCGAACGAACGAAAATTGACTCCCCGACTTCTCTCGCTAGCTTCGCTCCGATCTGGAAGACGATTTCTGTGGCGTTGTAAGAGGAGGGATTCCTCGTTCAAGTAGCTGGATCGGTTGGTAAACAAACGCTCGTGCGGGGAGACAACTAACACTGCGCTCCGTGCATTGCAACCAAATCGACTGGAAGTTGTTGCGCCGAAGGGGACATTGATGGGGGTAATAAACAGTAAAAATTAATTCTTGCCAATTAAACCGAGGGGGATAATCGTTTGAACGGTTGTTCGATTCAATTGGTGGTGAAATTGGAGGATTAAATGAGAAAGCTTTCCTTCTAGCGATGATGAGTGTACTCTGAAAATCTTCCGAAAATTAGAGCAATTATGATCCAATTTGTCATACTTAGGTTGAAATTGGACGGGGAATAATTACTGTCAACGGCTAGTGCTTCCGATACCGAGTGCACCCATTCCGAACGAACCAATTTCCGGGCTGGAACTGAGGTCATGTGAATCCAGTCGTAAAAGTAGCTTACATTTGTGTACACCCCTGGATAGTTTGGATCACCACATCGGAACCCCCAGGAAACTAAACCGATCTGCTTTCCTTTGCACATCAGTGGAGATCCCGAGTCGGCCTGTAAATCAAATCGAAACCAGATTCATAATGTCCACACCATACCGAAACATCGATTCTCACTCTACACGAGTCCTTCCCAGGAGATCCAGCGCAAATCTTGTCGTCGCTTATATCGACAGGCCAGTAAGCCTGCCGGCATTTCTCGGTGGACCACAGAGGGATTTCAACGGAATGCAATCGGTCTGGAAATGCTCCGAACGTTGTCAACGAGCCCCACCCACTCACGGTGCAAATCGTTTCGGGTAAAAATTCTGAGTCGGGCTCCACAAGATTTACCATCTCACCCCACGTCAACGAACTGTTATTCCGGGTGATAGGCTGGCTTAGTTCCACCAGGGCAATATCGTTCCTAGACGAGTGAACATCGTACCATTTGTGAATGTAGAATTCTTTCGCCGGAATAGTTGTTCCTTGGTCTCCTCTCTCGGAAGAGCCAGCCCGAATCGTCAAATCAACTGGCTTTTTGTCGCTGCAAAATTGAATCAAATTCCATCAAAATTGCTTATTGCAGCAGAAAAGGCACAATCGCTTACAGTAGACAATGAGCTGCCGTTAGAATCCAACTGGGCGATAGAATCGACCCGGCACAAACTAGATTTTTATTGCTTTCCAGCGCCACCAGATAGGGATGTTCGTCGATGGAAGAGTTGAAGCCTCCTGCTATCTTGAACGGGACTTTTAAAGAGAGGGCTGCCAGAATATGAAACGATGAAATACAAGAAATTTTTGAATTAACGGAATTGAAACCTTGGTGGAATCCGTGGACTACGGCTGAATAAACGAGAAAAATTTGGACTGCCAACATTGTGGATGTTCGGTGTATTGAAAAATATAAATCAAAGCAGACCAGATGAAATCTTGTCGCGCGTTTGAATTAAGCGAACAACATACGTATCAATATATTAACGCGAAGAGGCATTGTTGACAATAGTATTGATGATGTGACCACATAAATATTGTCAATGTAGAATGTATTGACAATACGATGATAGTCAATAAAAGCAATCGTATAGGGTCCACTTTAGAGAGGGTCGAACTGTCAAAGCCAGAGCCAATCGATCAGTGCCTATCTTGATTGCATTGGCAGTGTTGCTAGAAATCACCTAGGCATACGTTGCCGAGGAATTTTGTTTTGAATCCGCTCCTCTCTTCTACTAAACCCTCTCTAGTTTGAATATTGCGCAATGCATCGAATACCAGTCGTGTCATTAATCCGGACATTACATTCCTTATTAAATATTGCGGCCACGTTGTAACATAATGAAAACGTGTGATAATTTTGAATGATAAAAATAAAGTTAAAAATGATAAAAGTAAGGTTGAAAGAAAAAAACGAGCAACCGCAAGGCTCGTCGGGTCATTGTGATAAAACCTAAAGAGTCCAAACAAGACTGCGATGAACCTCGCAAGTTTAAAAAAATCAAAACTGGATCCAAAAACACACAAATTAAGTAACTTTAGAAGCGGTTAATATTGCTCCCTTATTTTTTTAACTAGTTCGTTTATTTACTAGGCTCAGTCGTGTGTGACACTTTGCGGAGCCAAAAATCAGTAATGTTTGAATTTACATTTTAAACAGTTCCAGGTTAATGGGTAACAATTTCGATTGGAAGGAGCTAGGTAGGAAACTGGTTTCTGAAATCCAGTCGTGCTCTGGAGGCGTCATTACCCGGGCAATACTAAATTGCGTGATCGATGTCACCATAACCGGTTCTACACCTACATATATTGCTGTCAACGAGGTTTATTCTGTAGAGATGTGCGTCTAGCGAGTAGTGGTTGGCCATTATTCTTGACTTCTCGCGAATGAAGCTCCGACTTACATCCAGACCTTCGAACCACGCTCTCGAAGAAACATTTAGAATTATGGAATTATGGAACCATCGCCCAAGGGAATTACTTGTCCAATCGTTTTGTCAACTTAAAATAGAACTCTGACGTACTGATTGGAAAAATTCATCATGTGAAATTCTTCTATCATATTAATTTATTTATTTATTTAATTATTTACTTATTTATTCGTCAATCATCAATCAAATCGTAGACTACTGATTAACCGGTCCAAATTAAGCGTAATTGGTCCGATGGCGATCTACTGCGAACAAGTGTCGACTGCGTAATTGTCGGGAAGGTGCATACAAATTCAACTTTGACAATAGATCAGCTGAGTCAATACGTTGCGAAATGATATTGTATAAAGAAATCTTTGCGTAATCCCGAAGTTCTTTTTTTGTTTGAAAGCTGATCAACATGCAACGTGCTTCATATGACGGGAGAGGAAAAGCCGTCCAACTTAACTTGCGTAGTGCATATAATAAAAATTACTTTTGGATTGACTCTATTAGTTTTTCATTCTTTTTCATATAAGGTGACCAAACAACGCTACATAAGCAACGTAAAGTGTTTTTATTGCATAAGGATCTTTAAAGTGGACACGTTTCATAAAATTAAGCATATTGCCTGCTCTATGTATTATTGTGTTGTAATCGTCCATAATTGTCAATTAAGAATGTAGAATAACACCTAAATCTCTTACATTTTCACATTTTTGAAAATTTTCATTACCTAATGTAATACAAATATATTGTTTGTTAAGTTTTCTACTGTCCGCACACCAAAAAATTCTGAATTTTACTGGCGATGTAAACATGCATGCATGCAAACATTTACACATGTAAACTTCCTTTTCACGTAAACAAGCAGCTTGCAAGAAATGTTGCAAACAAAAGTGGACAGTTTCATACAATATATGGAATATTGCATGGCATGTCTCATAAATTTACACGATCTATAATCTAAACTTGTATGATATATGACGCTCCATTTATGTGCATCAAAGTAACGGAAATTTACACTACTTTTTTTTGCTGTGATAAGATTACATTTTTTAATATTTAGTTTCAACTAACTTTTACCACACCATCTGTAAAAACACATGTATTTCACTCTGAAACTCATTCATATCGTTATCGCTTCCTTTTTCTAAAAATACCCCTAATAAATCAGTACCCTGATATTTTTTTTATATAAGAGAGTCATCATTAATGTACAAAATAAAAAGAAGGTGACCTAGGTGTGAGCCCTGGGGAACCCCTGACGTGACATGAATTGGCTTAGATGTTTTCTCGTTGAATCTTACAATTTGCTGGCGATCAACTAAATACGATTTAATCCAGGTGAGGAGCTTCATCTCAATTCCCATTTTTTCTAATTAAAAATCAGCATTGGGATATCAATTCGGTCAAACGCTTTGCTGAAGTCCGTATATAGAGCTTCTACTTGGTTACCTCTGTCCATTTCATTTAATACGAAGTCCATAAATTCCACGACGTCCACCAAGTTGTGCACGAGTTGTTCTTTGTTTTATTTGTCCAAAAACGTTTTTATTAATAATTTATTCGAAGAGTTTTGAAATGCACGAAATAATAGAAATCCTACGATAATTTCGAATATTGGATTTTTTACTAGATTTATACATGGGTATTAAGTAGGCTTTTTTTTTTGCTATTCCTTCGGGAATATACCAGATTCAAGTGACATATCAAATAGCTAGAATAAAGGGGTTGTGAGTTCAGTTGCTAAGTTTTTCATAAAAATAGGTGGGATTCCATCTGGTCCTGAACCTTTCGTGGCGTCCAAATCTCGTAGGCGTCCAAATCTCGTAGGCCATTCCAAATATCATGAACCGAAGTGTTATTAACGCCAACAGTAGTTGAAAAGTCAGGAAAATAAGAAAAATATTCATAATCACGATCATTGTTTTAAAAATGTCGTGTATGTTTCTTGAAAAAAGGGGCGAGAAGATTACATATATAATCAGAATTATTACCTTCCTTTTCATTCAATCTCATTTTTGTTGGAAAGCTGCACGATTTCATTTTAGATTTGAAGTAATTGAAGAAATTTCTTGAACACAAATCTCGCCTTGTTGAGCGCCCACCTTTGCGAGAGAGTCTGCCTTCTCAGTGCCTGGGATTGAGCAATGTGAGGGGACCCATACAAAGGTTATCATATATGATATTTCGATCAGCAAACTCATCTGCTGTCTAACCTTTGAAAGGAAATCAGATGAGTTCCTACCTTGTTTTATCGACCGAATAACCTCAATCAAACTGAGACTATCCGATAAGATGAAGTATTGGTCTATGGGCAATCCCCCAATGCGATGTTGATTGCTGCTAGCTCAGCAACATGAACGGAACAAGGTTCCTGAAGTTTTCGAAAGACGGTTGAGTATTCATTGAAGACGTGATCCATCAGTGAAAAATCTTCTATTGCAATTGACTTGTTGGTACTTTTGAGCATTGCTTCGAAGTTTTCAATCACAAGGATATTACTGACACTACTTTTGATCAATAATCTTAATGAGGGCTCCCAGAAACGGTTCTGCAGGGGTTTACTCCCGTTAGAACCTCTAGGCTCATATTGTGTGTTGAATGCATACAGACAAGGGCAATACGTAGGGCCATGAAGTAGTTCGCCTCCTCGTGGTGTGCCCTGGAAACGTTAATTATCGAACCCAAGGGAGAGATATTGCGGCTAAACGAACTACCGCAGAGTAAGGACACTGGAACCACATCCAGCTCGTCCCAGGAGGTTGATAAGCCCTGCACAAACCCTCGTTGTGCAAAGGCAGTAGTGACACCGCACACTTAGAAATAACTAATTTTACACGTGACGGAATCTATCTTTGACATAAAAGATGAGACGTAAACAAACATGCCATGTAATATTAAGTGCTCCGAGACTGAAAAGTTCGATGCTCGACGAAAAATACTTTTGATTGAGCTATATTTCACGTCTGTTATGACTTAAATTTATGTCGAAATTGACGCTCGTATATGTCACTCTCAGAGCACCTAAATTTACATGAATTTTTCTAAGTGTGCGGGTTCTTAAAGTGCTTAGCACACGCAGCTGGTAATCGGTCACATCTGTCCTGTTTGGCCCTGGACAGTTGGCTGGCTATCACGTCTGCTCTAAAACTCAGGCGAACAACTAACAGCGAACAACAAGAGGAAGGCCCTGCACAGCTGCTCACTGTGCAGTAGCGAGTGTCAAGTCTGACCAGACATGGCAAATCATTTGCATTCATTTCGTGCATTCATTTACATTCATTTGCCTCTAACTTTTTTCTTCAACAGCATTCCACAAAATGATGTATAGAACTTTTGTAGGATTTGTTATTAGCTACAACTTTTATCAACAAGTCAAATCCGTATCTCTTATGCATGACGCAGCAGAGCTAACAGAAGCCACTACTGTTTTTCAGTGAATGTATTTTACATTCACTGAAAAACAGTAACAAGTTCTGCCCGCTGTAGTTCGTGATTTGAGTTATTTAGTTACGCATAAGAGATACAGATTTGAGTTATGAGCAAAACTTGTAGCTAATAACAAAACCTACAAAAGCTTTTTACATCATTTTGCGGAATGCTGTTGATAAAAAAGTTAGAGGCAAATGAATGTAAATGAATGTATGAAATGAATGCAAATGATTTTCCATGCCTGCGTCTGACACAACACTTTACTCAAGATAAAGTTAAATTTAATACTCCTTCAAATAATTGTTTTGAGTGTAACTTTTTTTCGTAGATTTTCAATATATTTAACATATTCTACAAAGTTGTTTGCCGTACAAAAATACATATTTTTGCTGAACATTGTAACATGCAATCTCTTAAAATTAAAATATGTGTATAAAATATGTGTTCAAAAAATAGACATTTGCAGGAGTTTTTTAGTTATTAAAAAACACCTAAAAGATCGTGTGCTGCCACACGTTTTAATAACTTTTCGGCTGTAAAATAAGAAAAGATTCAGAATCCTTCCTAGAACTTTGCGCCAATTTGCGCCGGAAATAGTTATTTGATGAGTAAATACCCCTAAAAATATCGATTATTTAAGAATAACTTTTTTGTTTCAAGAGCTAATTAGTTACAATGTTCAGAAAAAGCATGTGTTTAAACATGCAAAATATAGTTGTAGAAGAAACCAAAATTGTAGGATGCCTAGAAAATCAGTTATACTAAAAAAAAACATGATTTAAAGGGGCCTTTCACGAAAAATGATACATATCTCGCAATTTATAAGAGCTAGAAATTTTAAGTGCTCAGCAAAGTTGCTTAGAATAACATTTGCTACAAAGACATTTAGTCTCTATCTGAATCAGATAAAAACATATTTTTTGATCTCACTTTTGGGTGGATTAATCACCAAACCGTCTACATCAAAAGAAGCGGATTAACATATGCAAAAACATCTATGAACAAACTATACCCCTAAAATCAATGTTTGAGAAGCTATTAAAAAAGCGCACGAAAACGGCAAAAAGTAACACTGTGCTATGCAGCTTATTCTAGAAGTTGTCAGTTGACCTAGACTGAAGGTCATTTGTTTTTCTGATAGCAAATTATACAATAAATTATTTAAAATACCGGGTAATCCACGACTGTGCAGACTGTCTGACAGTATGTCTATGGAAACTGAATCAAATGCGCCCTATCCAGAAAGACTGAAGCCAACTGCTCCTTCTGCGCAAAAGGCCAGTTGAACGTCAGATAAAAGCATCGCTTGACAATCGGTTGTTCCTTTACTCTTTCGGAAACCAAACTGCGTATTTGAAAGTAGGTTGTTTGATTCAACCCAATTTTTTAAAAATTTAAATATGTAAATGTAGGGTTTGATCGGTGCTCGATAGTTCCCGCGATTAATGTTTTGCTATGCTAGATGTAGCAAACAACATAACCCATTTAAGAGTGCATCAATTGTATTGAAATGCGTTAAT